TTGAATAAAAATTATTTAAGTGAATTACTATAAAAAATTAGGCTTAACTGTCCTCGACAATCGAGAGCAAGAAAAATGAAGATTGGGTAAGTACTTTATTTCTTCTTTTTCACATTTATTTTTTATTTATTATACAAAAGTAACTAAAATCTAAAAATACGAATCTTTTAAGTTACTTAAGATTAGATTAGGTAAATTAAATAATAATACTAATATAATTAAAATGGTTCACAAGGCAAGGACGCGAGGGTAACTTAATAACATAACGTGACCTGCACATTCTCCAAGTGATTTACAACTTATAATGGCACAGACAGTAATTAGACGTGGTTCAAAGGGCAATAAAACAATCAAATTTAATTATAAATAGATGTATAATGTTACGAACTTAGAAATACTTAGGATAAACGAATATAGTTTCATGTTACAATTTGAAGTCATTCTAGAAAAAAAAAGGTAATTTAGGTTTATTTCTAGTTTTTTTTTGGCGTTTTTGAGACAGGTTAGAGAAAATAACAGATAAATGATAAAGGTTTACTGAAAAAAAAAACATTTGAAATGCATTCAGGAGAATTTGAGATTTTTGAGATTAGGAAAAGTATTTTTCATTTTAACAAGAAAATTACTTTGAACACAGACTATTCAAAACTAATACTCAATATATTCATGGACAAATCTTTATTTTATTCTATCAAAATACTTCACTAAAAAATATGATATTTTGTATGTGAAAGACTTGTAATGTTAAGTAAAAGGCTGTTAAATTTTGTTAAGAGATACACACTAATATTGAGAGTTATAAGCAGTAAATCTATAAAGACTTTAGATGAGTAGAAAAGGTCACGTGGTCGGTCAAATTGACCGAGCCCATATTGAGAGAGTTAAAACATTAAAAATAAACTATAAGAGAAAAGGCAAAAATGTGAAATTACACATATGATCCAAAGAAGATATTTTAAGATTATTCAACAAAGAGAAGTTAATAATGGCTGGAGACGGCTTGAATGGGTAATGAAGAAAAACTTTAATATAAGTTTAACATAACAGCAAATGTACAACGTTTCGACAAGGTTTTGTCATCATCAAAGAGAAGTTATGTATATATTTCAATATAGTTCTTAATTTTAAACATCTCAATGCACTGTACATTTATAATAATAGCTAGAGTTAGTCATATGGCAGAGAAAATGGAAAATAACCTTTTGTTATTCATTTCAAAGTTTCTAGAGATTATGCAAATGAAATGAATGTGAAAACTGTAATATAATAAATAGCATTTTTATACTCAAAATGAAAATCACCTTGCAGGTGAACTATTCAGAATCCAAGTTCAAATAACTACATACTTTTTAGGAAGGTTCTTATCAAATTTCACACAATTTCATCCACTAATTTTATTTTTGGAATGAAATGTAACGGTAGCAATGTTAGTTCCCTACAATGTTGGGACCCAGTAGTCATACGGTTAATTAATAAATATTTCAAAGTAAGTAAAGAAAATTACACAACACATTTGTTTCCTGACAAAAAAAAAAAAAAACCTATTAATATCTGCTTCTCTTCAGTGATTTAGAGAGTATTTAAAAGAAAAAAGACATGGAGATAATTTTTACAGTGGTGATACTTCATTATTTTGTGATAATGAACAGCCATAATTACTACTTTGTGGTAATAAATCTGCTGTAATTACTTTGTTATCAGGATCAGATAGAAAAATCAAAAACTTTCATTACATACTACAAATTTTGTTTTAATAAAAATGTAACAAGTCTATTACTCTGTATCAAAATACCTAAAACTTACGAAAATACTAGATGAACTCCTCCTTTCAAACCACTATCAAATATCCCTTTTCCACGTCCACCAGCGAGCACTTGTGCCTTGATAACATAATCCGTGCAAGCTACCAAAACATTTCACATAGTACTGTATTATGCTTTTACAGAATTTAATAAAACTATAATCCAATTATAAAATCAAAGCATGAACACGAACAGTCTTTACTACAGGTAAAGACTGACTAGACTGACTTAAAAAAATTTAATAACTATACCTAATAAATCTGCATTTAGTCTCTATGGGTATACTGCCGAGAATTAATTGTGGGGATGAAATTATGAGTAGATCACTAAGGCTATTATGCTAGACTTTGGTTAATATGTAAGAATAAACAGATTGGGTGGTTGGAATTTTAGAATCAGTTCAATGGGAGAAGGGAGCTTTTTGGAATGGATGGTTTACACTTAAATAGAGCATGGTTTGGCTATTTTGTAAGGGCTTTTAACTCAGTTGTAATGGAAGTTTTAAACTAGGACTAGACAGTGGTGAGGGTCAGGATAAATTAAATACAAAAAATAAGATGTAGAGAAGTTTAGCCTAGGAAATAAATATAGAAGTAGTTCTAAGAATAGTCTTAATTGTTACTATTGTAATGCTAAGAGTATAAGAAATAAAATAGACAACTTTGGGGCACCAGTAGGAATGGAGGATTTTGATACAATGGGAATAACTGAAACATGGTTAAATGTAGGTGATTTTGATAAGAAAAATTTATTTGAAATACAGGATTACAGGTTATCTAATAGGGATAGAGTACTGAAGAGGGGTGACTATATTTGTAAAATGTGAGTTATATCCTGTTTGAGTTGAGGATATCAAAGATAACAACAAGGAGATTGAAACCATTTGGGTTTCTTTTAGTGGAAATAAAGAGAAAAGGCTTTTAGTGGGAATTTGTTACAGACAATACTGATGAAACTAGTGAGAAACTTTACAATGAGATTAATATTTCAGCTATTAATGAAGTCATAATTATGGGTAATTTCAATTTCAGGCATACAGATTGGGAAATGCTAGATTCAAACCATGAGGGAGAAACGTTTTGGAAAACTGTACAAGATGGTTTTTTCACCAATTGGTCAAGGAACCTACTAGACACAATGCTATTTTAGATTCATTGTTAATTTCTAATATAGAAATTGTAGAGAGGGTGGAAACTGAGGAACATCTGGGTGCAAGTGATCATTGCTTTGTTAGGTCCGATGATTTGCTGCATAAGGAGATCTGGAATAATGATATTTTGATTACAAATTCCAAAAAAAAACAAATTTTGAAGGGATGAGACAAGAATTATCTACCATGAAATGGGCAGCTGAGTTATTTGGAGACACTGATCAATGGGGGAAAAATTTGAAATATAAATTTTTTAATATTCAATATTATAGAAAGAAATGGGTGGCTGTAAGTAAAAAACAAGGTTGGCTCACAAAGGGTATAAGAGATAAAATTAAAGAAAAGCATAAAAGATTAAAAAAATTGAAATTGACTGGTATAATGGGAGATTTAGAAGATTATAGAAAATCAAGAAAGTTCGTAAAACAGGAAATTAGGACATAAAAAAGATGTATGAAAGAAAATTGGCTGAAAATGTAAAAATTAACAGCAGGGATTTGTTTAAGAACATTAAGGGTAAAAATAAATGTTAAGATGGGGTAGGGCCCTTGAATAATGATAAAGGAAGGCTTGTACTTGATGATTATGAGATATTTGTGTTTATAAATTATTTTTTCTTCAGTTTTTTACTAATGAAGATTGAAGTAGTGTTCCTAATTTTGAACACTTGATAGATGAAAACAAGGTCGAACCAGATAACTGCACTAATTCTGAGCTTATTAAGTAAACACTGGGAAGTTTAAAGAATGATAAGACTCCTGGGCCAGGTAATATTTCCCAAATGGTTTGAAGGAGGTTAAGGATTGGATATGTGAGCCACTTACTACTATTTTTTGTAAGTCCTTGAATAGTGGGCAGGAGCCAAAGGATTGGAAGTTAGCTAATACCACATCTCTTTTCAAGGGAGGTAATAAAAAATACGTTTTTTGACAAGTTAGTTATAAATGTAGTTCAGTACTAGATTAATTTCACAAGTGCTTGGAATATAAATGTATTGCTTTCTCATTTTAAAATAAATAGGAAAGAATTAAAATTTTAACAAACAAGTATTCTAAACAAAATATATGCTGCAATAAAAAGTACACAAACAAGTAAAGTGATAAAAATTGTCCAAGTAATTACAGGCTCATTGGTCTTACATCAGTTGTGAGAAAAGTTTTGGAAAGTCTGATAAAAGTTGCTTTGCAAAGCCATTTAAACAAAGTTTAGAATTATACTTGATAGTCAACATGGTTTCACTATGGAAAAATTTTGCCCTACAAATATTTTGACATTCTCGAAAAGGTTACTGCTTATGTAGATGAGGATAAGGGTGTCGATTTGATTTACCTGGATTCTCAGAAAGCATTTGACAAGGTGCAACATAAAAGAATTGTAAAAAAAAATGTATCACTATAGGTGCGGGAGATAAGTTAGCAAATTGGATGGAAGAAAGCAGAGTTGTCAGAAATGGAGTTCAGTCAAACTAGATTAATGTCACAAGTGGGGTACCTCAGAGCTCAGTCTTAGGACCTATGCTTGTTTACATCAATGACATAGATGAAGGGATGATCAATAAATTACTTAAATTTGCTGATGATATTAAGGTCTTGGATGTTGCTAGCTGTGAAGAGGATGCTGCTGCTTTACAAAAGGATTTAGATCATTTAGTGAGACAGCCAAATAAATGGCAAATGGGTTTTAATTATAATAACAGCAAAATAATACCATAATTTGTATTATAAGTATAATTTGGAAGGGGATAACCTTAACAGTGTCATGAAAGAAAGGGATCTTGGTGTAATGGTTGATAAGTCTCTTAAGCCATCCAAGCAGTGTGCTGTTGCTAGTGGTAAGGCAAATAGGATTTTAGGTTGTATCTACAGAAATATTGAATACAAGTCTAAAAGAGGTTATAATTTCATTGTATAGGTCACTGGTAAGGCCACAATTGTAGTACTGTGTTTAGTCTTTAGGAAAGACATTGAATTGTTGGAAAGGGTTGCTAGAATGGTGTTTGGGATAGAGGGGTTGTCATATCTCTGAAATTGTTTTCTCTTGTAAAAATAAGAGTTAAATGGGATCTGATTGAGGTGTTTAAGATTGTAAAGGGAATTAATAGTATTGATGCATCATATTTTTTCATATTTAATGGCGAAAATAGTAGGACTAGGGGACACAAGTATAAATTTTGGCAAGTTATGAGTCATCTTCAGCTAAGACTGTTTTATTTTTCTAACAGGGTGGTTGGCCTTTGGGTATTGTGTAGGCAGTAAATATAAGCGAGTTTAAGAGAAAGCTTGATAACTATATATGAATGATGAGGGCTAGGTTTAAGACTTTTATTAATTTTAAAAAATTTATTTATTAATATTAGGTCATCAAGAACACTTTCATTAACTACTCACCAAAGAACGTACATCACGTATAATAGTTAAACAAACCGCCTAAACGTCACGTTAGTGTAGCCTATATAATGTGTAAATTTTAGTATGCTCTAATCCTTTATAGTGATGGCACACAATCGTCATGTAATGCTATTTGAATACAAGAAGGGAGACAATGCCTTTGTAGCCACAAAGAATATCAAAGAAGTTTATGGAAATGTTTTGAACACTCATAAGTGTCAATGATGGTTCAGAAAATTTCGTTCAGGTGACTTTAGCCTTAAAAACTGTGATGACAAGGGCCAACATGTTGGAATTGATACTGATGCTCTGAAGACGCTTGTTGAGTCTAATCCAAGGCAACACACTCGTGAAAGGGCTCTGAAATTGCATGTCTCTCATGAAAAAATATGTAAACATCTAAGGAATATGGGAAAACTTCATAAAGAAGTTGTTGGGGTGCCTCACGAGCTCTCCAATGATCATCATTTCCAATGTGTGAGCGTTGCTTCGTCTCTTCTGGCACACAATGCGTGTGAACCATTTTTGAACAGAATTGCCATCGGTGATGAAAAATGTATTCTCTATGCAAATATTAAATGTCAAAAACAATGGCTCAGTCCTAGACAAAAACCACTTCTGACCCCAAAACCTGAACTCCATCCACAAAAAGTGATGCTTTGGATTTGGTGGGACATCAAAGGAGTAATTCATTTCAAACTCGTCAATCCACAGTGAACTGCTAATGCAGGTATCTATAGTCAACAATTGGAACGTTTAAATCAAGCCATTCATCAGAAATGTCCTTCACTTGTCAATCGGAAAGGTGTTCTTCTTCTCCACAACAATGCATGTCCACATGTAGCACATTTGATGCAACACAAGATTATGGAGTTGGGTTGGGAAGTTCTCCCCTACCCACCATATTCTCCAAATATGACATCAGCGGATTACCATCCTTTCGTTCGCTGCAACACCATCTTAATGGGAAAACGTATACAAATGTGGAAGTGTT